TTCTTGCAGGGTATTGAGCGTCTTAAAAATCAGAAGCCAACCTGGGAGAAGATCAGCGGCTGGGAAGGAATGAAGCTGGCGTTCGGTGGTACTTTCTCCTTGGGTTGGTTCAATCCCTTTTCGAACCTGAACTGCAAGAGCCCAGCGCCGGCCGAAGCGATGGCAGCAGCTCCTGCGTCTGCAATAATGACTCAAGAAGAAATTGAGCAGTTTCTCACTCGAGATGTTGCTGTCCAAGTGTTACATGAATAAGCAAAGCATCGTCCAAGATGTCAAGAGCAGCTTTCAGGTTTTTTTAATAACTAGCTGTGCTGGAGATTTAAGGGTTGTTTTTTAACGTACTTTTCGCACATTAAAAAATTTGGGAGTATTTATGTGGAAGCCAGGTACAGCACTAGCAGAAGCAATGCAAATCTCCAGAGAAAGCTTTATAAGTGATGAGATTCATAAGCTCCTTTTCGGACCTGCAACAACTACTTTATTGAGCTTTTCTTACTTGGCCTTTAAGGAAAGTTTATAATTGCCGGATAGATTGGTCCCAGCTCCCAGAAACGTGCAGTCCTAAGGAGTCTGGTTAATCTGTTGTTCTTACAGCCTTTTGGAGGGCTAAATGATAGTGCTGTGCAATGGCCAGATTAGCCCAGTTCTAAGGGTTTTCTTGAAAAATGCATCCTTTTTAGCTCATCCCATGGATGCTGCCTCTGGATCATGAAAGCTGCTGGTGCTCAGATCTTAGTAGAGGTGGGATACTGGGCTATGGACGCAGCACATGGGCGAGCTCCAAAACATCTCCAGGGATAAATTTTAACCCTCTGTGCTCATGGGGCTGCCCAAGACTGGTGGTGCTTGGCCGAGCGGTGTTGGAGCCGGCGGCTTGGTGGGGGTGCTGGGCCAGTGGGAGCATTTGCCTGCAGCCAGCACAGTTGAGAGCAGGCAAATAGTGGCCGGGTTGTCGAGCTGCTGGTGGGGGGAAGCTTTTGCCCGGGGGCTGTGGTTCATTAGCACGTAGGACGTGTGGAGCAGGAGCTGCCTGGCCAAACTCTGCCAGCCAGAAAGCAGGCAGCAGGTCTAGGCCAGGCACCGGGGCTGTTTCTGCAGTCAAAGAGGAGGGAGATGTGAGCACCCTGCTGATGGAGGTACTGGCTCTCTCCATTTGACTTGTCTAATTTAAATGTCTCTCTTTTTCTCCCCCGCACCCCCACAGCCAGAGTTAGTTGAGAATGAATATTGCCTCTTAATCTTGCTAGTGTTTAATATTGTCCTATTAGTCCTTGCCATTGTGCAGGGTTTCATTACACTAATTCTGCAGCTAGCTCCTGGTGAATGTTGGTTGAACACGTAGAAGGAACACGCTTCGCTCAAGGAAGGTGTCACTGCAGGTGGGAATAGCTGCAGCAAAGTCATGCGGAGCTGACATTACCCACAGCATTCAAACACGCTACAAACACTTGGCATGCTCCAGATGTCAGTTAGTGTAGTTTTAATTTAGACTGTTTTTTGATTGTTTTTTTCCTTCTTGTCATCTCCCTTAGCTTAATTGTCACTAAATTTTGCAGGATATTAGAGATGTGCTCCTGGTTTTCCCCCACAGGACGCGCTTGACTTCGTCTCCTCCTCCCCTGTAACGTGGACCAAAGAGAATTGCTTCCTCTTGAAAGTGAGAGAAAGGAGCTTTGGGGATGAAAGCACGGTATTGTGAAAGACCTAGATGAAGTTTTTATTCTTTATAGAAGCAATACCAATTGGAATTCGTGCAAGATTTTTTTTTTCTCCCCCCC